TTTTTTTGAGACAAGGTCTTGCTTGTTGCCCAGGCCGAAATGCATTGGCATGATTACAGCTTTTTTTTTTTCTCTTTTTATTTTTTTAAAAAAAGAAAAAGAGAAAGAAAAAAAAGAATAATAATTAAAAAAAGAATGAAGGAGAGGAAGAAAGAGGAAGAGGGAGAGAGAACGGGGGTGTTGCTTTATTGCCCAGGCTAGAATGCAATCTAAAAATGGGTATGCCTATAATTGTGCTTAATAATGGAGACATGAAAAAAATGAGGAAAGAAAATAACAAGCAACCAACCAATATTTCATTTAAACCTGTAAGTAGATGTGATGTGGTACTGATAAGAATGTGTATTTTGTGGAAAGTGGAGAGTTCTATAAATGTTAATTAAGTTTACTTGTTCCAGATCTGAGTTCAAGTCCTGGATATCGTTGTTAATTTTCTGTCTCATCGATCTGTCTAATACTGATGTTGAAGTCTCCCACTATTATTGTGTGGGAGTCTAAGTCTATAAGTCTTATATATCTGGGTATTCCTGTATTGGGTGCGTATATATTTAGGATCTTTAGCTCTTCTTGTTGCATTGATCCTTTTATCATTATGTAATGTCCTTCTTTGCTTCTTTTGATCTTTGTTGCTTTAAAGTCTATTTTATCAGAGGCAAAAATCGCAATTCCTGCTCTTTATTTATTTTTGCTTTCCATTTGATTGGTAAATCTTTCTCCATCCCTTTGAGTCTTTGTGTATCCTTGCATGTGAGATGGGTCTGGATGCAGCATACCGATGGGTTTTGGCTTTTTATCCAATTTGCCTGTCTGTGTCTTTGGACTGGGGGATTTAGTCGATTTAAATTTAGAATTAATAATAATATATGTGAGTTTAATACTGCCATTTAATGTTAGCTGGCTGTTTTGCCCATTAGTTGATGTAAATTCTTCATTATGTTGATGCTCTTTACTTTTTGGTATTTTTTAGAAAGGCTGATACTGGTTGTTCCTTTCTATGTATAGTGGTTCTTTCAGAAGCTCTTGTAAAGCAGGCCTGGTGCTGATGAAATCTCCCAGTGCTTGCTTGTTCACAAAAATTTTTATTTTTCCTTCGCTTATGAAGCTTAGTTTGGCTGGATGTAAAATTCTGGGTTGAAAGTTATTTTCTTTAAGGATGTTGAATATTGGTCCCCACTCTCTTCTGGCTTGTAGGGTTTCTGCTGAGAGATCTGCTGTGAGTCTGATGGGCTTCCCTTTGTGGGTAACCCACACATTTTCTCTGGCTGTCTTTAGTATTTTCTCCTTCATTTCAACTCTGGTGAATCTGACGATTACGTGCCTTGGGGTTGGTCTTTTTGAGGAATACCTCTGTGGTCTTCTCTGTGTTACCTGGAGTTGAATATTGTCCTGCCTTGCTAGGTTGGGAACGTTTTCCTGAATAATATCCTGAAGCGTATTTTCCAGCTTGGATTCATTCAGGTACACCTATCAAACGTAGGTTAGGTCTTTTCACATAGTCCCATATTTCTTGGAGACTTTGCTCGTTCCTTTTTATCCTTTTTTCTCTAATCCTGTCTTCTCATTTTATTTCATTAAGTTGGCCTTCGACCTCTGATAGCCTTTCTTGTGCTTGATCAATTCGGCTGTTAAAACTTGTGCATACTTCGCGAAGTTCTCGTGTTGTGTTTTTCAGCTCCATTAATTCACTTATATTCCTCCCTAATTTGTGTATTCTCGTTAGCATTTCATCAAACCTTTTTTCAAAGTTCTTAGTTTCTTTGCATTGGGTTAGAACAAGTTCTTTTAATTCACAGAAGTTTCTTATCATCCACCTTTTGAAGCCTGCTTCTGCTAATGGAACACACTCATTCTCCATCAGGACTTGTTCCATTGCTGATGAGGAACTGTGATCCCCTGTAGAGGGAAGAGGCGTTCTGATTTTGGGTATTCTCAACCTATTTAGGTTGGTTTTTTCCCTTTGTTATAAATTTATCCATCTGTCGTCTTTATAATTACCTACTTTATAATTGGGTTTCTGAGTGAACGTCGAACTTGTTGATTCCCAGCGCCAGAATCTGAGCAACCCACTGCGCCGGCTAAAACAGCGGCATTAAGATTGATGGTGCTTTTCTGACTCTGCACCAAGAACCGCCTCACCGAGGCACGGTCAAAACCGCCTTGCTGGCCACAAGAGTCACGCTGGCAACCCATGGGGCTCCTCCGCTGGGAATCTCTTGGTGCATGACCAACAAAAATTTGTCTGAAAGTGTGGTGTCCTCTCGTTCTCTGTGCTTTCAGTGGGAGCTACAATCCCAAGCTGCTAGTGATCAGCCATCTTGGATCTCTCTCCCGGCATTCGATTACAGCTTATTTCAGCCTCAACCTCCTGGGCTCAAGCAATCCTCCTACTTCAGCCTACCACCACACTCGGCTAATTTTTAAAATTTTTTTGTAGAGACAGGGTCTCGCCATGTTGCCCAGGCTGGTCTCAAACTCCTGGACTCAAGTGATCCTTCCACCTTGGTGTGGGATAGTGCTGGCATTGTAGGCATGAGCCACCACACTCAGCCAAGAACTTTGTCTTAAATTTAAATCCCATTTTTTCTGCAACACCCTGTTGCTTATACTTAAACCAAAGTATAAAAAGAAAATACTGCAATTCATTTAACATCTATTGTGTTCTAGGTACTATATTTGTATATCTAATTCTCACAAGACTCAAAAAACAAATGTTATTATTTGTTTCGATAAGGAAACTAAGATTCAATACATTAAATACCAGAGGCTTCATTTGGACCTTGGTCTGTCTTCAGAGCCTGTGCACCTTCTGCTACACTGTGTAATCACAGGCAGGAAGCAAGAGACCTCTGTGACGAGCGGTTTCAAGGTGTGATTTGTGACAGGGTCAGATAGACCAGAATGGACATATTCAAGAACTTAGAAACATTAAATCCTCGGAGGTCCAGGTGGAACATCTAATAAGTCAGATTAAGAAAACAAGATGAAATGTTGTCATTTATTTGTAGCATCTAAAGCCTTTGAACTCATAGCAGCAGTGAGTAGAATAGAGCTGGGTGCAGTGGCACACACTTGTAATCCCAGCACTTTGGGAGGCCAAGGTGGGTGGATTGCTTGAGCCCAGGAGTTTGAGACCAGCCCAGGCAGCATGAGGAA